AGGCCACACTGATTGGATTTCAGGTGGGCTCAGTTTAAAGTCGCCCCGTGGTGTACCCTGTCTTCATTTTTTCTGGATTGTGTGTGTATAGTAAGCAAAGGTAGACTGGATTTCTGGATCAACAGGAAAAAATATACCAAGCTGAATTCATGTAGCTTTTGATTTATTACAATTTAGACTCACAGAAAAAGAATTAAATTTCTAATCATGTTTGAAGTAGACAATCCTGAGTTGATATTGTTCATGGAGGTTCATGGGTATCATTTTTTCAGAGTTTGTTCATTGGTGTATGTCTCAAGGTATTCAGCACCGGGAAAGATTCACACACTACAAGAAAGATAATATTTTCTGGGCAGAAAATTAAATTATTGATACACAAAAATATTGAGAGGCCAGGAGGAGAGCAAAAAAAGAAAAAAAAATGCATCTTGTTCCCCGCGTTGAGAACTTCACTCTGCATATTTTTCCGTATTTTTACAGTCCATATTGATAAGTGTACTAACAATAAACCTCCACAATCATCCAATTACAACCTGTAACAAGCACTGAAATTTGGCTCATTAGTGTTTAGAGAAACTTTTGATTTCTGAAAATACTCATAACTTTTTCAATTCCGGTCCAAAACGCTCGATTTTGGGTGCATTGGTAAGCTGGAATTGTCCTCCAAATAGCTCATAATAGGACCACACAGCATGCTGGTCTGCTAAAAAAGATATCACCTTTTTTATACCTTTGTACATACAGATCCATAGAATGATTGGCATACTAGCTACATAGTTCTTGATCTTATGAAAGTTTGAGAGAAAGAGTTCAGCTTTCTAATGCACTTAAAATCGAGTGTTTTGATGCAGATTTGACAAAGTTATAGGTGTTTTCAGGTATCAAAAGTTTCTCTAAACACCAATGAGCCAAATTTCAGTGCTTGTTACAGGTTGTAATTGGATGATTATGAAGGTTTATTGTTAGTACACTAATCAATACGGACTGTAAAAATATGGAAAAATATGGAGAGTGAAGCTCTCACCGCAGGGAACAAGATGCATATTTTTATTCATTTTTTGCCCTTCTCCTGGCCTCTCAATATTTTTGTGTATCAATAATTTAATTTTCTGCCCAGAAAATATTATATTTTGTGTAGTGACATGAGCCAGGGATGCCTCATAAGTTTAAATTCTATTGCCCACCTCAAACTCTGCAATGTTTGATAGCCCAAAGATATGTATCACTTTGATGAGATCAAATATAGAAAGATAAATATAGGCTTAGTTCGAGCGTCGCCACTTGGCGCGCTACGGGGCATAAAACGCAGAGCCGCAAAAAAATGGCTTACAAGCCTGAATCCCAACGGTCTTTTTGAGATCAGTTGATGCAACCAATTGGAAAATCTGTGCATTTTAAAGCCCTTATCTTCCGCATCTTTGCGCTCTGTCGTCGAAAACATGTAACGTGATATCACTGTGTCCATAACCCAAAATCCTTTTCACCAGCATTGGAATATTTGTGACATATCTATCTCCAGAGGAGCGTTCCGGGGTAATCCTATCGGAGAAAACCTATCTGACTTGAGATTTCAATCATTAAATCTTGTAAAATCATTGGTATAGCTAAATATAGCGTCGGATCGATGGAAACTGATCAAGATAGGTGGGGTAGGGAGCGGACGCGGCAGATATGGCTTTGTTAAGCTAAAATTTCAACACAGGCGTGGTCATCAAACGTGTCTGACTGGTGCTTGCGATCACCAAAGTTAATTGAACTTGAGGGGAACGTACCAGAAATCGTCTCAAGGCTTGTTTGAAAGGATTATGTACCAGATCGGTTTACGATTCTTCTTCAACGTATGAGCATTGGATAAGTAGTAGTATGTCCCTAGAACTTCCGCATCTTTGTCATATAAAGAGCGGCAACCCAGTGAAGCTCATGAACCATTGTGATCATCACTCGCTGGATTCTCTCAGCCAAAGGTTTTATTTGGAGGTCAAGTACTTGAGGCAGCAATCATTCAGTTGCTAAAATGATACGCTTTAGTTTTTTGGTATGGTCAGTGTGCATCATGAATCTCATGGCTATATCTATGGGCGCGAATTCAGAAAAGAGTCTGGAAGTGAATTCAAGACTACCAGAGATTCAGCCCTCAGGCTCTAGCCACATTTTCATGGAACGACATAATACTAACCACATAGTCAGAAACAGTCCATCCAGCCCTCGCCAGAAATTTGAGAGGAAAAGATTGACTTGTCGAGGTGAAGAACTTTGGAAGAGTCACAATCAACCAGGAGGTTATCAGTTCTTGAACTCTCAACCACATGATGCACAATCCTCAGGGCATTTGAATAGACTACGTGATGGGAAATTGATGGACAGAGGGTATTTATCTCTTGCACCCCCCACAGAGTTTGGAGAAGGGATTCCAAGTACTTCGTCAATGCGACAGAAGCACGGACCACGGGCAGGAACGATTGATATCAGAAACTTCCATTTACACACTCCTAATAAGATGTGTTCAGCTGCTGCGATTCACTACACACACGATCTCCTTGACAAAATCTCAGAAAGATACACAGGTCCAATATGGACCTTTGAGAGATTACTTCCATTCGTGTACTTTGTTGTGTCTTGCAATACAAATGGAAAATTTTGGGAAACTATCAAGATATTGACAGCCTCAACCTTTAGGACATTTGATCAATTCTCTCATATGTCAAACAAATCTCAGATAGATCAAGAAAAATATGCTCGATTTGTTTTGTGGCATACAGAAGTAATTTATCATATTGCACTATCAGAACCAATGATTGAATCATCAAATGTAACACTCAGGCTTCCTGGATTATCCACTCTGGCAAGATTTTTCTTGCTGATCAAGGGCCGGGGAGATGCAAGTACAGATTGTAAGAAGATGTTAGGAAGGCATATTTCTGAAACCTTTGAACAAGATTATCAATCCGGATACCCATCTGGTGAAGGTAATTGGAACATGCATGGTACAATTTGGGAAAATTGGAACAAGAAATCAAATGAGATATACAAAATAGGGCAAGGTGTGGATTGGCCTAAAACTTCAAACTCTCAATTCGAACCAGTTCTCTTGATGAATGGGGATATTGAGCATGACACAATTGTAAAGAAAAGTTCAAGTTCATCTCAATTCCTCAAGAAGTGGGAGACCGACTTACATGAAATGTTACAATTTATCAGTGCCTCACAGCCAAGCCAGTTAGCTCTTTCCAATATTTCACTCAAGCTAATATGTCAAGGGATTCATTATTTTTTGAAGGGAGAATTGAAAAGTGTAACAAAAGATATAGATCCCCATAAAGCAAATGGGTATCAAGTTACATTGTTGGCTCACTTCCTTCATCAAGATTTAAATGATCAGTTTTTTGTAAAGTTTTGGGATTATTGTTTTAAGCTAGGAAAAATAAACCCCAATGAATAGATTGAGAAGAGAGAGAAAAAGATGGCCCTTGGTACTCAAGAAAGTTTTCTGTGAGATTATAATGTCATATGTAATCTTGATTATCAGGAATATAATCATTCATCAGCACTCACATTGAATTGAATGCCTATTTCCTCACTTACCTTTCCTCCTCTTATTGTGCATTTTATGATTTAGAGGTGGTAAAATTGAATTGAACTTCTGGAACAGGCTGGAACCCTGGAAAAGATGCATCAAGTAGTACTAGAAGGGAGGTGATTTCTAATTTGGAGGTCTGTCAAAGGTATCTCCTCTCATTTCTGAAGTAGTTCATGCTGAATTGATTTTGGTCATTGAATAAACATATGCATTCAATCAACTTGTGAGAAAGGTACTGGTTGCCTAGATCATGATGTTTCCCTGTTATCAGCAGGGCTTCAAAGACTTTTCTTTCTTTCCAAAGCCTTGTTTGAGACTTGCTCAGTTAATTAACCCACAGATCTAAGTTACCAGATATACCTAAAGCTTTTGAGTGTCTCCTTAGTTTCTGGCTCGAGTAAATCACAGCCGGTTTCACCTTTATTCCTAGTTCACCTCATCTTGAGGTGTTGGAGCACATTTTCAGGCTATGTGTTTGTTTTCAGGTGTTCAAAAATCTCTTTCATGTACTCAAATACATTGACAAAGCTCAGAAAAAGATCTCTACGGCTATAATTGAGGTCAGATGAGTTTGCAAGCCTCAAAATGGGTGATGAAGAGATTTGAGTCCGAGAAAGCTGCCAAGCCAAGTGCCTTTTTTGATCTTACTGCAGCCTGTAGGCTCAGCATCAGAATGCACAAAAAGCGCGGTGCGCTGGCACGCCCATGATCTCGCCCAGATGCGGGCTGCTGTGAACCCGCCTTCTACCTGACTTCACATGTTGTTCCAGCTTCGATGTGAACGACAGCAGATCACACTCCATATGCCCCTCAACATCCCAGCAATCACCAACTTATTGGTTCAAGTGACGAGCCCTCGTACGAGCCTTGCTTGTCTCACCACTCGTGATGGTCATCTCTTAGCCTACTATTCATTGAGTCAATCGGAAGAACAGGCCAAAACTATTGGTGCATTGGCGGCTGGTCTTATCAATTCTGCTAGACCTCCTACAACCGTTTCTGCATTATGTGAGGTTAGTTGTTCGATTCGATCATATCGTAAACGTACATCAGAGTTGATGTTTTGAGTGGCATAGCTGGGATCGATCTATGTTTCTCTTCTTCCGCCTTATTTCTTGATCGTTTTGCTGGGTGATAGTGAATCTGGGATGATGGAGACCTTGGCTTTGAAGGTAAAGATACTATCCTTCCGCTTTTCCTCTTTAGCGGTCGAACTGAAAACCCATGTCTCATTTCTTTTTCTCCGTGTGACTCACTCACTTTACCTTCTACTCTTTGCAATTCAGGCTCGTTTGCTGGAAGACCGGTTACGGGAGCCCTTGTCATACATATAGTCACATACATGTACGATATCATTAGCTCAATTGGTGGCCTTCGTGTTGATATCCCTGCCTGACAGGAAGATAACTTTTTGTATAGTACACATGATAAGTTTGACTTGACCAACGGCTTTGAAATGTATAACGCCAAGAAATCTAGAACAACATGACAGGTGGAGCTGGATGGTAGCTTGGGTTGTTCTTTTGTTCAATCACTCGAGCTTAGATACTTCTTTTGAGCTCATCGATGATGGAAGTAGATGAAGGTGCAAACTGCTTGTAAGAGTGACAAGTTTGTTTAAAGGACTAGAAGAGGGCCAATTGCATCATGACAGACCAATGGTTTCCGTCACACTTCCTAACTGCAAAAAAACTTCTGGCATCGATTGCAGAGATGCATTTTTCACGGGGATTTGATTCGCACTAAGTCATACACATACATTTACAAAGAGAGAGATGAGGGAGTAGTACTATAGAGTTCAGGCGGGCATGGGATCAGCCTGTGCCTCACCCGAAGATGCCGTATTGCTATCTATATTAGCCGTTTGCTCGCCTGGCTCGGCTTCTTTCGAAGCACTGTTCGGAGTCGGATCGCTGGATAGTGAATCTGAATCAATTTCCAAAAACGATCTACTTATACATGAGAGCAAGTCAACTCACGCATCTGAGTTTAGTTGAGTCGGACCATTGTTAGCCCCAGTGGGTATACCACCACTGTTGGTAGGGGTTAAGTTCGCAGGCAAAGAAGCATGATGAATGGTTTCCGGTGAGGGTATCGCTGTGCCGACCGATTGAGGTGCCGTTTTGCCAGCTTTTGATAAAGCGTAATCGCCCGAATCAAAGTATTTGCGTTCCTAATCACAAACATCGTGAGAGAGAGAAAGCAAAATAGGTGAAAGTATTTTAGATTATCAATTCTATTCTTCATATATAAGTTAGAAAATCAACTCACCATGAGGTTGTGCTTCGCAACGTTTTTCTTTGGGGGTAACTTTCCGTATAATCGGAAAAGTTTTTGTTCCTCTTCAGTCATTTGCTTATGGAACAGTCAGCAGCAGTAAGTCGAATCAAGAGCGAAAAGACAGGAGCATGAGGAAAAAGGAAAAAATCGATGTAAGCCAGATTGTCAAAAGTCACTTGAGTTGCGAAGGATAGGATGACGAATTTGAACTAACGCTGATATCGACCTTCTTTCTTTGATGTGGGTTTAGTGCCATTGTGAGATGTTTGATTATGATATGGCTGATATGTAGTTTGAAATTGAGAATGAAGTCGAGTTGTAAGAGGTTGTAAGGTTGAATCGAGGTGGATGATGTCGAGAGCGGAATCCGGATGCCGTTCACGACGCTGCGCCATGTATTCAACGTATCGGACCGGACCTCGGCTCATGCTTTCGAGCAGGACTGGTGCAGAGGTCCGGGCGCACAACCAGTGTCCCGGACCGCCCCTGCGTTGGCCTTGTAAGGCTATGAGCCGGCCCTGTTCACCATACCATCCTCCAATGTGCATGAAGCAACATGAACCTACATGAACTGGCTCCAGAGAAGACCAGTACATACTACATCTTATGGATTTGGAGTTGTCCAAGGAGGCGATATGAAAACCGGTATCAAAATCTCCTGAAGTGCATCAAGTGGCCTGGGTAGCTTGAGTTGAGAATCCTTGAGATGCACACATTTGCTACTAAATCCGCATGGCAGAAAAGGAGACTAAAAGTCACAGAAACTTCAAGTTGAACTTGAAGGCAAATATCTCTACATTCCCCTCAGGTTCAGCTCTATTTAAATTGAATTCAACTTTTGCATCTTTTTCTCATCAATTTGACCATGTGACCTTCTTTCAAATCCCGCCATCAAGCATCATACAATCTGATTGTTTGTCTGATTTGAAATCTTTCACTAAAAAGTAGTACTAAAGAAATTCCAACAATCCTGCTGGCTACTTCTTTCTTACATTTTGAGAGAAAATCCAGAACTATATATAATCTTGATACATCTCTTTTGTGTGTAAAAATCAGTTCAATGTATTATTTATCTTGGAATTGACTTTACCAAATGAATTGTACAAGTAAAGAGTCAATCAATTTTTATTATCTTTTGTTTTGTAAAATAAATCTCATTCTACTTTCTACATTAATTTTTTTTTGGGGGATGTTATTACCTCAATGAAATATTCAAGAGATAAATATCATTTATCTATAATGGATAATTCTTCAACTCGTTGGGATAATAGGATCTTGTTTTTTTTATCACAAGCTATATCTGTCTGGAGGTTTTAACATAAGAATCTCAAGGATTTTCAAACCAATTTTGAATTTAACAAACACCTAGGGTGTGTTCACTCAAGTGATTTCTGGTGAGAAATCACATTCTGGAAAATTTAAAATGTCTATTTGGTGGTGTATTTTTCATTTTTGCATTAAAAAATTTACAGAATGTGATTTCTGGTCAGAAATTCCTTAAGTGGACACTCCCTTGAATCCTTCTTGATGAAAAGTGAATAGCATGTTGACTGATTGTGTATGGATCACCAGCTGGAAATCTAATCATCTATAATTCTTAAACTTTCAATGGTTTCTTATTCCCAATCATTCCAAGTTTCCTTAACCTGATCCATGACAAAGACATCCTCATTTGTGTTTTTGATGTTTGTAATCCTACATCTCCATTCTATAAAAATCAAATTCCAATTGCGCCTCTCCCCCCAAAAAATATCTTACAACAATTAAATTGAAATTCACATCATTTTTGAAGAGGAAATATCAAGATGAATGGAATTCAGAAAAAAAACTATCTATAATAAATCCAAGTATGTAAAAAGAAAAAAAAAGTGTTAATACCAAATCCAAAGATGTTTTTTTTTTTCGTTTTGGTTTTACAATTTCTATTGAATTTTCATAGATTTACTTTTTAGTTTTTGGTTTTAAAATCCTTCAGAAGTTCTTCTTTGGAGATAACTAACCATAATTAAAAAAAATCATTTTGACCAATCTTCAACAACAGATGCCCTTAATAAACCTACTAAAAAACCAATCCCTCAGCCCCCCAAAAAACCAATTCCCAAACTTCACCCCCAGAAAAATTCAAAAAAAACTTACCAATTCATCATGTCGTTTAATCAAGTTAGATTCCAAAAAATCTTGTAATCCGAAATACTCAATCAAAGCCACTTCACCAATCTTCACCCAATTTAAGATGGTCGAATAATCTAGGGCGTTCACATTATCTGTGATTTCATGCCATACTGATGGAAATGGTGCTGAGATTAAGTGTAGGATTGGAACTTTTGCTGCTAGGAATGGAATATGATCATCTATTTTCAAAAAAAAAAGAAATCATATTTTTATCCAAAAAGAACATCACATCAATCTTTTTATTAAAAAAACCTGAAGTTTTCTTTAAGCATTTTTTGGGGGGGGGGGTTACGGACCTTCTACTCCTCCAAAGAATCGAACCTGATTAGATCCAACTTGATCTTTAAAGAACGAATCAGTTTTGATATCAGTCAATGAAATCACTCCAAGCTTTGATAATCTCAATTCAGCTTCTTGCCAAGCTTCATACATCCAACCAGTTTGATGTTCAAAGAAATTATGAATCGAAGGTGATCGAGCACCCAAAAGATCAAACAAAACAAATGCTTGGATGTTGTCTAATTGATTGGTTTGTTTTTGTAAAGCGTTTGGGGTTCGGATTGGTTCTGCCCATTTCTTGGCTAATGCTCTGTTTATCTCCAATCATTTTCAAACACATTCAATCGATTATTAGACTTCTTCATAGTCGATTCAAATTCGGATCTCAAAACTAACCTAGCTCCATATATCGAATCAGTATGAGTCCAATCTTTAAAAGCTTCTTCACCATCAAACAAAACCACTTGTAAAGTGATTCTTTCCTTAAGCTGACCAATCTGATCAGCCGAGTTCAAAAACTGTTCAAGTTGAAAATCCAAAAGCGGACTTATAGATTTCACAATCTGAAGGATAATAGCCACAGGTGCAGCACTATCGGTTGCGCCCACAAATCCTTCTGACGGATCACCCGGTGGGAAATATTTACTATCGATATGAGCAGCTAAGATTAATCGTAAAGGAGCTGTTGGATCGTGTGTGAAGATTTGATTGGTAAATGTTTTGGTACCATAAGGTGTGATGTCTTGAAAAGTATGTGATTCATATTTCCATGTGGTTAGGTTTAAAACTTGGATGGGTTGAAAGATTGGAGGAGGTTTAAAATTATGAAACAGTTGAGCTTGTTTTGGTACTTGAAAAGTTTTTGATAAACTTTGGAAATGTGATTCGAAGAGAGTTCTACATGATTGTAGGTTTTGAGATTCTACAGGTCTTGGGATTAAGATTTTAGATAATAATGAGTTGGGATTCTTGAAGTCTATGATGAGATTTGGATTTGATAAGTTTTGTAAGAATCGTAAGTTTTGGTCTTCGATTGGTTTGTATGATCTTGGTTTGATGGATTGTCTTGAGTTGGTGAATCGGATGGTGAGTGAAGAGAATAGTAAGATGAGAAGTAGTGAATGAATGAAATGTTGAGTTGGTTGATTGGTTTTCATCTTCAAGAACTTGATACAGTCAAACCCGCGCTAATGCATAAATTGGGGAGACAATTTTTGCTATGCATTATTGCGGGTTATGCAAATAGGCATAAACCCCCATAATGCATATTTGTATGCATATTGGCCTAAATGCATTGAAATATGCATTATGACGGGTTTTTGTTGAAATTGTATAAGTTTATGCAATAGTACGTTTGTATTTTGCGCGGGTACAAGGACAAGATATTTTTTTGACACCGAAAAAAACACCACTAGGGGTCGGTTTGACCCCATAGAGGGCTCATTGCTGCCTGATGTTGCCAAAATCCTACTTGCAAAGGATTTGATCAGAGTTCAATGGAAAAAAAACACATCCTGGGGCGCTTTGTAGGCATGCATTATGACTTTGGGGACTTGAAAAGAAGTATGCATTATGGTTTTTGACATAATTATGCAATTAATGACAAAATTGGCCCGCACCAGCTGGGTGGAAACCAAAACTTATGCATTTTGGCTGGTTATGCATGTGCGCGGGTATGCATGTGCGCGGGTTTGACTGTACACCACTCTCTAGCACTCAAATCGAATTCTTGGACCCATGCTGATTTTCTACTGTACCGAGTTGGATTTCACTTCTCTCTCGGGAGTCGGAATCATCCGGAGACCCGACCCCGGTACTAAAATACATCTCCAAAACTATCCTGTGGGATTTCGTTGAACGTCATCTCACTCAGAAGTCAGACCACTCAAACCAAGACACCTAAACCTCTAACATAATCATACGAAAAAGATGGGTGGTGGAGTAAATTCTTTTTCAAATCAAGATTTCCATGACTTTGCTTTACAAAAAGATAACTACTAACGATCACTTGTTTTTGATTTGATTTGATTTGATTTCAACTTTCACATTTAGTCTCAATATCCTTATCCTAAAGAAGTTTGGTCACCTGCTGGAGGTTGGTGGACAAGACCAACTAATTGGCGTACGAACACTTCTATCGTCATTCTGGGTAGTTCAATGATCTTTTATAGTGTTTTTAAACTTAGTGCTGATCGAGAAGTATGTGATCTTCTCTCTATTTCTCTGACCCGATTTATAAATTAATCGAAACCTAATCTAATCAATCTCTTTTTCTTTGATTTGATTTGGTTTGATTTAATTTAGCAACGTATGCAATCACCAAATCGTTGGATTCCTTCAATGCTTTGGTCAAAAGAATTTAAACAGGGAAAACTTTCGATTCGAAATGAAGATGAAGAATGGCCAGTAGGTGCTCATGTAGAAAAAGGTCATCATTGAGAAAAGACAAAATCAAAAACAGGAGAAGGAAAAGAACCACATCAAACTTTTTCTTTTTGTACAATTGTGACTTTTTATATCGATTGATTTCATTTTTTGATCGGATTTCAAACTTTTGACATATTTACTACCTATTCATGGCTAGTCAACTTGAAATCGAATCTCTTGATCTTCATTTTATCAATCAGATTGGATCAGATTGGTGAAGAGATTGTACGATTCCTTTGGTTGTTTAAAGAAAACCCTTTGCTCTCAGACGATAAAAACTACAACTTTGAAACCCGACTTAGTGATGGTGGCATGATGACGTGTTTACACAGATGGTCAAACTAGAAGTATTCTTGCTTGTAGATTTGGATCTTACCAGCTGAATGTTATGCTCCAGTAATGTCTTTTTGGTACCTTTAGCATATTCTACAATGGCATAAATACATTACAAGATCCAAGCATGATGACTGGTTTTTCTTGACTGTGCTGTTGAAGGCGAATATCGACCCTCTTTTGTGTACAGCAAAGGAGAATAAGTTGATATGACAAGATAGTAGTTTTCTGGAAAATGATACCAAAAGCATTTATAGAGGGTTTTCAACTTGGTAGGCTTTGTCTTGACGAACAGTGATTTCATTCAGTGAAAATCTGAACATCTTTGATTTTGGACTTGATCATAATGAGCTTTCAAGAAGGTAATGATGTGTTTTTGAAGAATTGAAGTATCTTGTGGACCAGGGATATTATATATCCCTTTAAACTTCCCTCTAAGATATTCCTGAAGAATACGAGTTCAAAGATATTAACAAAGCATCAATAATCAAGTCTACCTATTTTTATTAGCATTCTTGGACATATGTCAATCTGATGGACACGAAGCTATTATCTTTTTTGTTTGATCTTCTGGCTGAAATCTTATTCCTCAGTCTCATTCAACACATCCTTTGACTTTCTCTTCTTCAAAGCCATTCAAAAGTTTAAAATCTGATTTTGTTATCATCATCCTTGGGTATGTCAAGAAAACCTTTTTACATTAATCAAGAGCTGCATATACAAATGAGAAGATTATCTATGTGACAAACAAACAAATAAGTTAAAAAATTAAAGAAAATAATACAAGATCGATTTCGACACTATATAGACATCATGAATGAATGAATGAATGAATGAAATCTTACACATTCATATATATATAAAAAGAAAAAAAAACACTCGTCCGTTTCCACATTGAAAAAAACCTTATCTTAATTCTTCTATAGATTCTCCACCTGCTCTCTTAATGACCTTTTCTTGTTCTTTTTCAACATCAAAAGCTTCTATATCTGTTGTTGGATTGGTTTTACATTTTCTTTCTTTTTCATTTGATATTTGATCTTCTATTTGACTTTTATGAAACATTGAAATTCTTCTTTCGATCCACCAATCCAAACTTGCACTAAAGAAAATTCATGCTTGTTAATGTTAGGTTTAAAGTCATCTTGTTTCTATAAAAGAACTTTTCCTCACCTGATCATAAGAGAAAAGATAAGAACCCATGCGGTGATGATATGATAACGAAGTAAGATGATATCTTTATATTGAGCAGAGATTCCAACAGCTTGAAGTGCAGGGATCGGATTGGATGAAGCTGATCCAAAGAAAAAAGTTTTGGTGGTCGAAATTGTAGCAGCCAAGAGGATCAATACATTACAAAGTGTAAGACGTGTTGGTTTGAAGGTATTACTAGGAAAGCAAGTTTGAACAAGAATAGTAACCTACAAATCAAGCCGAAATCCTAGTCAATTCGTGTGATACATAAAGTTGATTTTTTCCACAAAAAGTTCAATTCAGTGGTTTCATTTACCTGACTTAGAAGGGTAAAGATGACCGCAAGTGCAAGCGCTACAGAACTTCCACACATCGCTCCAGTATCAAGCCTCGTATATAGTTGTCCTAAGGGCCGAAGTTGATCACGTATAGTTAAGAAAGCCTTGAACATAAGTGATAGAGTGGTGATTGAAAGGGCCAAAGAGATTCCATAAAGAGCTCCACGAATGGTTTTGAAACTGATAAAGAATCGTTATCATCAGAGAGATATCAAAGAAAAAAGGAAAAAAAAAAATACTGAATTCAGAAACTTACTCATCCGGTGCTGATTTACAGTCTGAGCTTTCTTGGCAACGAGTCTTGAGGGAGCTTTCAAGGTTTACAATCGATAACGAAGTTGTTGGTCGCTGTTCAACCCAACATAGAGTACGAGGATCCAAACGATACATCAGTTTTGTTTCTACTCGCTCAAGGGAAGAACAGAATTTCAAAAAGTTACCATCCACCACCGCCGCATCTGAGGATGTGTGTGTGTGTTTGAAGCGCTAAAGGGATAATAAGTTACCTTCAATCGAGAGACTTCCGATCCGGCGGGTCTAGTGATATAGCCTTTCCAACACTTTCAGTCTCTAAAACAAGAACTAAGTCTTTTATAGTGCCTACGAATAAGTTGCTTCATCGGTAATCGAAACCTCCTAGTTATGTAGGTCGATGTTCAAGTTTGTCGCCAGGGGGATCCACCTGTCATTTATCTCACGTCCTATAGCATCCTGAAAGAGTAAGAGGAGCGAAAAGATCCGAAATGGGTGCATGGAATCCAATCATCCCACGGCTTTGCTGACTAAAGAAATACGTTGGGACGATGTGATCGAATTGCATACAACACCTCAAGAAGAGAGATTGTAGAAGCGAGGAAATACGAGCCGCCCTTGATCAAGAGCCCGAGCCTCTCCTTCTGGATATATGAAATGGTACATATATCCTCAACGGGCTTTAATCTGATGAAAAGATCCGCTACCACAGAAAGTTCTGAGCCTCGACCCTCTCGATACCAGAGCGAAGGGATCTGTGAGTTCTGCTCGTTTTCAGCACAGGTTGATGGGCAAAAGATCAATTAACCGCGGATATGAATCAGAAAAAGATGGTCAAAAGAACATTTGGTTTCAGAACAGGTGTATCAAAAGATTCTTTGAGCAATCGAAGCAGAACGCGAGGATTTTCGATTCGAATCATGAATGAGCTTATCTGATCAGCGGTCATGGCTCTCCATCAGAAAATGATACTTATGAGCTTGGTACCAGATGCATCACCTTCCACGTCTTTGAAATCCGACTCCTTTTAAACAACAATCACCCAATCAGACATTATGAAGTTATTTGTTGTTATCTACGTAATCTCCATTGCTTTAGGTCAGATACCATTTTCTATTCTCATCGGGTCTGGATTACAAGGCTTTACAAGATCCATAAACTAACGTTTTTATATTTTGTCAAGTTGGAGCGAGAAGTGTTCCCCAACCTGAACAAGATTCCAAACTTTCTCAAATCAGAAACCGCTCTTTGAAATTGGAAAGCAGGGTAAAGATCCATTACGATTTCCTTGCATCTAAACTTTCCTGACACTTGATTATCTTTCACTGTTGGGATTTCTCAGGATGGTCTTTTACCCTTCCTTCCGGTCGGCGCTCTCGTACCTACTGTTCTCAATGTTGCACCCGTCAAATCACTCACTGGCAATGTGGGTGATCTCGTCGGTGCAGGCGATACAGGAAGCAAACCCAGTTCTGGCCTATTGAAAGTCAGACGTGCTGCAAAATGAAAGATAGTGACCTATATTTCTTTACGAGAGTTGTAGAAATCTACCTGGTTTTCATTCTATCAACTTTCTTTTGATCCCAATATCTTTCATATTCAAACTTTCCAACCTTGTCTTTGTTGTCTGTGGGCTTTGAAGATTCATTTGTTTGTTATCAGGCCTCTTTATGCATTCATTCTTATAATCATTTAATATATCCATTCATTCACTCTTATTTGTTGTCAGCAATTGGTTGAAGAATGCCCAGCGTGGTATGCAATAGCATCTTCCCATTCAGAACATGACAAAGATTTACACACTTCATTCATTCATCTTTTAGGAATGGATATATGTCAATGGCACATGTCATTCTTGGCAATGGTGATTGTATTCTTCCAGGTGTTGTAAGTCTTGCTGTTCTCTATGGCTCAGATTCACAACTTGAGCAGGACTGGGTGATCTTCGTGTGATCATGATAATGTTAGCATATATAAATGTAACAAATAATAATTATGACAAGAGGATATTGAATTTCATGTGGTTCATTGTGGGTGTGGATTGCGCGAAGTCAAGGATTGACGTGATCCTGTTCTTTGGGGGTTTGTTGATTATCTGGTGAGGTGTGACATTGTGGAAGGTCGTCCAAAACTTTCAGGTATTGAAGCATCTCTTGTGGCAAAAAGCCAGTAGCATGGGCAGAGCCTATCCATGTGACTGAAAAAAGACCACATCATTAAATGGTATGTTGACTATGTTGCTTAGTCTTCATCCCTTACTATCAGGTGAAGTTTGGGTTGAGTCACATGAAGAACTACTGTTTGAGTCGGATGAGGATGTCATTATTGCTCAAGTGTTAAATAAAATTGTCTGCCATATAAACACAAATAAACGTCAAACAGGAAATATAATATGAACTAGTTAAGTTATGAGTCTTTATACAATTAAAGGAAGGAACAACTGGTGGTAACAAGTGAATATGAAAGAATAGCAGTGACTTTATACTGAAATCAAGAAAAAGGCAGCACAACCAAAGTAATCAAAGGAAACCACAGGACATCCACAGAAAGATGGTTCATGACAACACAGACCAATCTAGCTGAGAAAAGTTACATGGAATAATCAAACACTGCATTGAGCTTCATGCTTGCAGTCAATCATCTCTTTTGCTGCCTCAAGACATGCGGACTTCCTTTAATCTACTTTTGATGTGTCAGTCATGAGTACAGATAACTTGAGCAGGAATGTTTTTTTGGCTCAATGTGGTTCATGAGTTAATATGAAATGATTTTGAATAAGTTAAAACGCCTCACGGTCCTGAGACCTGATTTGTTATTTTTCACTTCTGACTGAATGGAAACAAAAATAACCTATAACTACTAAAACACCCCAACCCTAAGGGGTGGATACATGATTGTAAAATATATGAAGAATTTAGATAAGTTTTCTTGGGAGGGATGGTGGGTGAAGAAAATTATTACTTTTTAATCACTATTAGAGAGAAATTTCTTATATAATAGTATGAAATACAATAGATAGAAATTTTTGTTGGTAACGATTTTGGATGAACTCAATAAAAAAGATAAATTTGAAACAACTGAGGGAATGAAGACCCACTACACAACCCGTATTGCTTTGACCACTATTCCTCTTTGAGATTAGATTCACAATCCTCTCATAGTCGTTTGTTTAACGTGAGTCTTCTAGAATTTATTCTGACATCATTTCTTGTCTGTAACTAATCCTTTCATTTGCCTGCCAACATTCCCGTTTGTCAAAACTTTGTTCCAACTCCCATTCTTTTGAGTGCTAAGAACTGCCTTTTGCCTTGTTTGGCCATCCTCTCAGTCACCCAAATACCAGCAGCTTGCTTTGTAATGAACTGAGGCTGTATATCATCAACCTTGTATCTTCTAATCCTCTTAGCCTTTTTATTACCATCAGGTTGATCCATAGAAGGCAATCCACTGATGTTGGTTGCAGAATTAGACATAGAAGGGCTTCCAGAAGGAGTGCGCAAGCCGGCCAGTACATGAGGCATCACAAAGTCTTCATTGATACCACCTGTACCACAGATGTTCAGCACAGTCGAGTTGGTTTTCCATTTAGGAGAGCTCTTAACAATATTGTAACAAGACATGTCCTTGAACTCTGACCAACACCTGATTGGTACATGACTAACGCATCCACCACCTGATCCACAGCACATTTACCCATTTTGCAAAGCATCCGGACTTGTTGATAGCAGCCAGAAAACTTAGCCATTGCTGCATTGAGAGTAGACCAGCAAGAACTAAGGGACTTGAGGGTGCAATTATTGGCAGGAGGAACTCAGCTGTTAAAATCATCTGTGATTTTGACCCAAAAGGTGGATCCCTTTTTTTGATTGGTGCCAACAAGAGCATCCTCAGATACATTAAGCCAAGATTTACAAAGATGTTCCAGAGAAACCTTGTTAAAGTTAGAACCACAACCTCCAGACATGTTTGGAGCTTGCAAAGATGTAAAGGGTAAACCAACAGATGAATCCTCACCTGATCATCAAATGGGGGCTTTGAGGTAACCAAAGGTTGGGTGGATTGTTGAGAACTGCTGAGCTGAAAGACTTTCATTGAAGAATCTTGCTGAATATGAGGTACAGAGTCAATATATTCATAATGATCATTACTGTCCAGATGATGAAGAGGTGCAGCGGAATTGGAACAAGTCAAAGCACCAAAGGTTCCAAGGTGATCATTGTCAGCCTGAGACTTAAAACAGGTGGCTTTAAGAGAATCAAAGCTGAATACTTGTGTGCTTGATGCGTTCTTATTGGCTTTGTTACATTATCTTACTGAAGTAAACTCGAGTCTTCATAAACAGGAGCTGGAGACTCCATGTTGTCTGAGGTGCGGGATGGCTACCGCTGCCTGATACTCGCTGAAAGGTCTGTTCTGATCAGGGTCTTCTGAGGTAGGTACAAGAGCACTCCTGTCTCAGGTATACACGGTCTAGTTTCTATGTATCAATCAAGAGAGGTCTTTATTAATAACAATCTTTGAAAACATCTTGGATGGTGGAAGGTAATCTATGTCTTGTTTCTACATGTTGATAAAGAGGCATCTTTATCAATAATGATCTTCAATAACATTTTGGACGATAAGATGAGGTAGAAGTTGGGATCTTTAGTTTGATAACAAAATTCTTTAGTGAAAAGATACACGATAACAGTTATAAAAAACAGTAAGAGTCAAATAACAAAGATAGGATCAATAAATTGGATATGATCTAAGTTAAAAGTATGAGCTGGTTTTTTAGTAAAAAGTTATAGAGTTTGATTTCTAAAAGTAAAGTTATTAGTTGGTAAAAGGTTGTCCTTCTCTCAAGTTTCAGAAAACCACTTCTTATATATCATTGTGCATCTATCTTTGTGATGTCATTGTAACACAGGGGTTTTGCACATTTTCATGAGGGTCTTTTGTAACCAATGCGATGCTACGTGTTTCTGATCCCCTAGTCACATTCTTGGAATGAAATGAGGCTCAAGGAGATATTCATCCTTCTTTAAGATCAGGGTCTTCTGAAGTTCGAGTATGTTATTATGATGCCTTTCAAGCTGATGTACATATGTATTGATGTCACAACCCATGTAAATCATTGTTATCTGGAAGCCTCCTTGGATAATCTTTATGCCTGCCAATGGGATTATCACCAAGTACTCCTCATGGCTGACAATAATTGTTCAGACAATGATGAGGTGCAGCTGAATCAGCACAAGACAAAGTTCCAGAGCCTCCACGGTGATCACTGAAAGCACTGGGATCAATATAACCACCTGGGAGTGACAAGCCAATATAAATTAGACTTTGTTGATGTAATGCATGTCTGTAACAATAAAAACACTCATATCATCCAATTGCACCCGGACTGCCTCCAGTAAAGTTGATATGTTGGCTCACAGGACTAGTGTGATGACCAGGTAATTGATGTGCAATCATTTGAGGACTAAGGGCAGCTCCTGAAGGTAAAGGCATATATTAGTTTTGGATGTCAAGTAGGTGTACATCAGACTATCACTTACAATAGTTGACAGGACTTGACTGGGGTGGGGCAGTAGTGGAATGTTGCATAACAACAAACTATTTAACTGAGATCCTACTTGATAGAAATTAAGTAGCAAATCATAAAGACAAAGAATTTAGGAATGATTCACAGTGATATAAGTATGGGTCATGTGTCAAAAGGAACACAAAAGAAAGGAATACATTGGGGTATTTATTGAGTTACACAAGAATATGGGAAGAGCCCTATCTTAAATACCCATGCAACCTACTGCCCAGATCACACTTTGTCTCTTTGAGTGGTCAATTTCTTCTCATCAATGCTAATGGAAAGGTTTCATTTGCCTTGAATCATGCACTATTTCCTCTGATCAAACCCATGATCAATCAATCAATCAATCAATCATTTGTGGTTGTATTTGAGCCATCAGAGTATTTCTGGAGGTTCCAGTGTGTTATCTGTGGCCTCAATGGGGTGATAAAATCACCACATGTGTCCTATACGTCAGAGATAAGTCATTCTCCAAACATCACTTTTCTCCTCAGGATTTGGAGAAGTTGACATGGGAGAATTAACTATGATTCTGAAAATTAGTGCTCACATGTATGGCCAGATGTGAGATTCCTGATGCACGGTGGAGCATGGTTTTTGGATCCAAACCGCCAAACGTAAACACACCTTACGTGCATGTCAGTTTAGCTACGTATTGTGTACATTTTCAGGTGCGTGTTGCAGGTGCTCTCAGGAGGCAAAGAATTTGCAACATTTTCTTGCACACACAGAGAGAAAAACTTCCCTCAATATAGGCATGTTTTTCCAATTCTCACCCATTATCCAATATCTTCCTGTTTTGTGGAAACCAATGGTACTGTTGTGCCTTTGGGTACCGTTAACCATGGAACCATTCAACATCTGAGTTGAAATGGCAGCTTTTGCCTTCACCTCTTGAGATGGATTCCCAGATCAATTGCATTTGAATACCCGGGTCCATTTATGAAAAAGTTGTGGGCCAGCTTGTGCCTTTGAACAGACCAAAGAGTCACAAGAGGGTAAGGACAATGGATGTGAACGTCCATTATCACGTTCACCTTGGCAAGTCCAGGGTGAAGAAGCCTTCAAGGTAAATACAACATCATTCTCAATGATGTCCTTGTGGGGACGTGTAAGTCAAACAGGCAAGAATGGAAACTAAGGAGGCTTGCAGGAAGTATCCCTGACAAAGCAATTAAAATTAGGATTAAAATTAAATCCAGAAGGTGGTGCTGCAAGGTGCACTAGTGGAAACAGCAACCAGTTGTGTTGTTTGGAAGCGTGAGGGAAATGTTGGAGTCCAGTGAGAACTGTAAGGTCCCTTCTTAGCAAGGGCAAGGAAATTTGACTCAGGTTTGACCTTCAGAGTTGGACAAGGCTTCTTTGGCAGCATGGTGCATGTAGAAGATGGTTTTGAAAAGGCAACTACTCAATGAAACTACATAGATGTGGTGGACAAAGTCAACAAATTGGTCAACTTGGAAAACTGACTACGTGATGAAGATGATATGTACGGAAAATGCCTTACGTGGCTGAGGTCAGATGCTACGGATGCCATTCAGCAAATGGCAAAATTTCCTTGGAGATCCGCCCTTCCACTTCAAATTCTACACCGTCAAGAGAGATGTTGCTCTTGGGGCCATTGTTGCGTTAGGTTCAATCTACCGGTGAACTCTGCAGCATTGTACCCAAAAGGCCTTCATGAGGAAATGTGAGGTGCAAGCGGGATGTCTAGCATCAAATATTTTCAGCCAATTCCCTCCCATTTGCCCAAAAGGTCCTCACAAGGATATGCAACCTCCAAACTGAGCGTCTGACATTTTTTCCTTTTTGACCTTGGCCTCCCCACATCATCTGCCTTTACAGCAGCTGAGAGCATCACAAAAAAGACGGAGGAGTTGAAGCAAGGCTGGCTCAGTTGCGCAGCTGCTGCGGTTAGCGCTACGGCAGCGCAACTGAGCTTCGGTACCAGTTTTGTGTTTTGGCCGGAAGCAGGGTCTCAACTACGGTACCCAAAGAGTGCCTTGGCTGGTAGCGGGTCCAAGTACTGCTTCCCGTTTTGATCATTCTAAGAAGCGGCAGCAGCACTACGTTTTGGGTTCTACCACCTCCTCAACGCCACCATCCACCAATTCCACCCTTTTTCCAAATGAAAGGCCACCAAAGAGCCGGGAGGAACGACCGGATGTCCCAATTGACTTCAAGATCCTCAACATCATTCTTGAAACATTGTGGATGTGCCCTGAGGCTGTATCTAGTGGACAGAAAACACCAACTCCTGACGTCTAATTGGGAGGACCAGAAGGAGTATGATCAGTTGAGTATAAGTATTCCCTTGAACAAACATGTTCACAATCTCTTGTCCCAGAACTGAAGTCTAAGATCTCAAAACTAACCTCATTTGATTTGATTACTATCATAAATTCTTATTATCTATACACTTGATTCCACCATTCTCACTATCATACCCCATTCTCTACTTTCATCACATCCATTTCTTGATTTCCAACAATCACAAACATACATCTCTTCATCATTTTGAAATGGCACCAACCCAAAGCACCTTGCAATTCAAATCCGGTTACGAGACTGATGATAGTGCTAGTGCTCCTTGTCGTTCTGGACAAATCACCACTCCTGCAGGTCTAGGACCCGGAATGATCTGTCCCCCTTCCGACAGTCGACAACCCCTCCCAAGCACTTCGTTTACCTTTTCCGTTGGAACTAACGAAGTCTGGGCGACTGTAGACAAGGGAAAGGGCAAGGGTAAGCGTGCTTGATCCGAATCACTTGCTGGATCCGCCATCGAGTCAGAGGCCAAAACCGACACCCCCGAGATTGTGAGTGGACCAACACGCAAGACGATTCCTGCCCCAAGACGAAATGGAGCGGTTGGTTCGGCTCAAGGGACTTCCAAGTCCAAGGTTGCATCCAAGGCGTTGATGAAGAAGTCCTCTGCCATGTCTTGACGCAAGGAAGCTGAGATGAATTTGGTACGCTCATTATTCTTTTTTCACTACCTCCCTTGCTATCTTTCTTACTAATGATAACTCCTTGCACGATCCAGGCATTGGCAGCTGAAGCCGGAGTTGCACCTGATCTTAATTCAGACTCCGATGATAAAAACCAGCAAGTTCATAAGCGAGTTCGAGCGTCAAATGAACAAGGACAAAACAACTTTGACCCACCTGTGTTATTCTATGGGAAACCGTTCTGTCGTCCCAACGATGTAAGCCCAAAACATCTTCATTTGACCATTGACAAACTGAAATAGTAATACCTACTGATTGAAAACTGTTGGATTTATCTAGGATCCATTGGGGCCTCCCTTGACACTGACTTGCAAGTGGTGTCACAAGGAAGTTCGTATTAGTGGAAGTTCCAAATCGAATCTTTGTGCCCATCGTGATGGATCAAGCCAGTCGGGTAAGAACAACCAAGGCTGCCCACGTCGAAACCAAGCAATACGTGCTGGTGCCAAGCTCCCGCCAACTGTAGCCAATGTCAAGGCCAGCAAGATTCGTAATCAACATGCTGCCTCAATGGACAACTTCCTCTTGCCCATTCCCGAGTTTCATGGCCTGGTGGTGAATCAGATGGTAAGCTTATGGCAGATTAACAACAGTCTACCTTGGACAATCATCAAACACCCCATGTTACGAGCAATCCTCTTGTATCTTCGACCTGGTATTCAAATCTTCAAACAAAAATGGGCAGCTGAGGAGGCCAAGCGCCTCTATGTTGGTCTTTGTGAAAATGTTGTCAAAGAGCTTAAAGTAGGTTCCTCTCTTTGTTTTCTTTGTTCTTCTTGAAATTGTTTATCTCAAACTGAACAATACTTTATCTATCTGTTCACTAGTCACTCACGAGTATGTTTACATTGATTCAAGATGTATGGACTGTCTCTTGCAATCGACATGCTTTCATCGGTGTGTTAGTGTCATATGTTGACAAGGCTTGGAGATTTGTTGTTCGCCATCTTACACTCAAGCTCGTTGCCTGGCATCACAAAGGTGAATGGCTGGCTGCACCAATAGCCACCGTTCTCAAGAAGCACAATCTATGTTCCAAGATAAGTATCAATTCTGATCCAGTTTTTTATTTTCTTGTTCTTGCTTGCAAAAAAAAACTTACCTGATCTTTTGCCTGTGGCACATGCTTGCAATGGCCACCGACTCTGGCTCCAACAACAAATGATTGAACATGACCCCGCCACTCATTGGGACTCGAAGAAGATGCATGTCTTCTGCATCTGCCACAAGACAGGGCTGATTGTACACGCTGGACTTGACGCTCTTGGGATTCCACCTAAACAACACCGACACGCCACACTTGCCAATTTTCCCAACATTGACACAATGGAAAGTGTAGCTGAAGAAGATGGGAGTATCGTGATTAACGTTGAAGAACCTAGGGCTTCAGTACTTGAAGATTATGAGCAAGAGGAAGAACATCCTGATGTTGACCGTCTTCTCGATTCAGATGATGAAGACAAAGCTGATGACCAGAATCTCAAGGAATGCAATGAAGATGAACAAGAGGATGAAGAAGATCCCAATCCACCTTGAGTGACTGCAGCCCATGCTAAGAAAGGGCTTCCTCGAACTCGCATGGCCCGTTTAATAAGGAATGTAAGTCATCAGTTATTATGAAATTTCTTTGTCACCATTCATATATTATCTTTGGGCTAATGTTTGATGTCATTGTAGCTGAACATAGTCAATAAGAAACTGACTCGATCGGCCTCCTGGAGGGAGGACTTTAACCAACGCCGTGCTGCTGTGAACAAGAGGCGCAACGACAATAAAGACGTTCCCCCTCTCCTTGCTCTCCTAGCCGAGTATGGTATTTGGTGGAACATAGAGCTGGATTGCTGGGAACGTATGTATGCAGCACAAGACGTGAGTTTTGCTAATCTTTTTGGAAATTCTTTATTTGTTATCTAATCAATGTTTTGGTCATCAAGATCATTGACAAGATGATGAAAGAAGATCTAGCAAAAGTCCATTTGAAGAAGTGTCGTCCACAAAAAAATGGATTGAAACAAGGATACTTTCACGAACTCATCTTCTCAGTTGGTGATTGGGAATCTCTTCAAGAAGTGATTCAAGAATTGATAGTGAGTTGTTCATCCCTTTCTACCCTATGTGTAGGAAACTCATAATTTCAACAGCCATTAAGAACTTTATGCCGCAGGATGGAGGGTGATGAGCCTACTGGCTGTATGGTTCTGCACGAGTATGCTGAACTTCAATCCTCTCTTGTTGACCGTCTCGACTCACTCTTGGAAGACAATCAACTATACCCGATGATCAAGGAGATGCATCAACAAACAAGTCTCTACGTGGAAGAAGCAGTTGAATGCAACTCTCTTGTATTGGCTACCGTTTTTCACCCAAGCTTCAGGTTGGGGTTCTTTAGTTTGACTTATGAAGATGATTTGGGGATGAAAGAACACACCGAGGATCTACTACACGATTGATTCCACAGCCAACAAGCAGAATTGTCCCGCAAGGCTGCTTGAACCGACTCCATCAACAGTGATGATATCATTGAAGTCTCAGTCAATTCGGTCAAAAAGAAGATTCCAAAGGTGTTTGACCTTTACAAACGTGCCAACACCTCCAGTGATCTTGAAGAACTAGAACGTTACTTACAAGGATTAGATCCTCTAAACTGCAATGATCCAGAAGCGCTGTTGGACCCACAATGTGCTTTAGATTGGTGGAAGGCTGGTCTCTTTTTTTATATGTTGACCATTGTTATTCAAAGGTACTGATTTATATCTGACTCCTTTTATAACACAGGAGCATGGGATCAAGTATCCAGTTTTGTCCAGTTTAGCTCAAGACTACCTCAGCATAACAGCCTCCTCAGCTCCTGGTGAACGACTTTTTACAGTGGCTGGGCAAGTTTGTTCTGCAAACCAAGCGTCTATGCGTCCCCGATGCATTGAGACTTCAGTCGGTAGCCGGATGTGGACTAGGAAAGGGGTACTTTTACCTTGATCGTTTAGCAAGGTGAATAAGGTGATCGAATACATCAATAAAACCACTGGGGGTAGAGAGAAATCGCACTTAGATGTCAACAATGTTTAATATTTGTTTCATTTCATCTCAGTGTCACATTTCATCTATCTTATCATATGTCTTTCTTCTATGCCTATGCCCTTTTTATGCTGTTCTCATTCCCCCATATGCCTCTGGAAATTTATATGCTCCCTTCTTTGATCAATCAAGTTGTTGATTTTAAGTCAATTTTGCACTCGCTACCCCGCCTCGCCAACCTGATTTTTATCACGGCCAAGCATCGTTCCTAGAAACTTTGGGACACAAAATGCCATACCTCGCTCCGTTTCTGACCCATTTTGGGTTTCAGTAACGGCCACTATAGCTATTGACTTCAGGTGAAATCAAAAGTCGCTACACTGACACAAAACGTGAAAAAAGCTTAGCAAGCCAGCCTTGGTTGAAGACTTGAGCTCCAAAAAGCGGCTTCACAACCTCGTCAATCCCCATTGAGCAGAACACCACAAGCTTCACGCGGCACTAGGAGATGATGGCACCGTGTGTGAAATCCTCAACAATTTACGTAGATCCGAGGTATATCTATAAATCACTTGGTATGTCTATATCATAATTCGAAGTTGGTGTTCCATTAACTAAGTGGAATCAGTAAGAAGGAAGGTAGACAACGACAAACTGCAGATCCAGTGAATTCATACAGAATAATCATTCCAGGATGAGAGATGCAACTTTTTGTCGTTTGGTTGTTCCCCCAAAGGACACTTGGTTGTGGAAAAGTTGGGAATCTATCAAGACAAACGCAACAGCAGGACAACTTACGAGTTCTCCGCTTCTGCCCATCTTTTTCCCATTCTTTGCAACTCTTCCAATCCATCCTCCTGAATCCACCAAATCAATACAGCAGAGCCATTAGCTCTAGGAGTGGTCATTCTAGTCTCTCAGTTTGGTCGTTTGTTTCTTCCCACCCACCCACACCTAAAAAAAAAGTTATAGTACCCATTTCTCTCATTGCTTTTATCAACATCCACGAACCTCTCAATTAGCCACTCTCACAATGAAGGGAGCTCACCGTTTCTGTAATATATATTCCTAGTTTTATTTAATACTTTCACCACATTACATTCCCCATAATAGGGGTTGGGCAAAAAACTGACCAACCGGTTTTGCACCCTTGAGAAATAAATTGAAAACGGCCAAAGATGGCCGAGATCAACTGGGTGCAGGTTTCACAGACCTCGCTGTGCCGGGTTACCCAAAGAGACCCAAAGTCAGTCTTTGGGTCTGATTTTTCTCCTCCAGCCCCACCAATAGCTCAGCTTGAAGAACTTGGGCAAGTTTTTGCACCTTTCACGGATCTGTAAAAGGTGCAAAAAGGGTGTTTGCAAGGCTTGTGGTGCCGCAAATTGCTTTCCCTGTAGGAGCTTTTGAACGGTTATAGCGGTGGCATGATCACAAAACCAATCATACCAGTCAACATTTTTGGAAAGCAAAAAGATGAATAAAAATGTTTGTTGGTTTTGTGTGGCTTTAATATTAATTTCAGCCATCTCTTAAGCGTTCCCAAAAACTTGAACTGCGATTGAACAGGGTTTGGAAACTGGTTGGTCGGTTTTTTGCCCAACCCCTAACATGCGTCCTCAATATAGACATCATTGTTTTTTTTGGCTAACAATATCATTAATAGCGACTTTTACCACTATACTTCTTTAATACCGATTTCAAAATCATACTATTCAAAAAAATTGTTACAAGATAGAAAACCGACAAAGTACAGTAGAAAGTTTTTTTAAGTTGTTTTATCAGGTTATGTTTTCTGCACACATGAGACTAGTGGTTTGTAGAGGTGTTTCTTTTTTACTTATTATCATGATGTACATGGTTGTTGGCGTTTCACTTGATTCTTTGTGCGTGTAGCCTCTGGCCTCCCCTTAGGGGTCTTTTCTGTGGTCGCGACGGCTTCGGCCTTTTTCTCATTTCTCATCTTTCAGTTGCGGCAATCAAAAAGACCTCGTTTCGTGCGTGCCGCTCCGCGGCACCACTCCGTGTACACTTAGACCGATGTGACAAAGTGTGCCTCTTCCAGCAAGACTAATTCCGTAAGTACATATCAAGCTCCCCCATTCGGTGGGATTGACGTTCTCGCACATCGGTCGCAGCGACACCTATTTAGGCTTCCCGGCAAATCCAATTCGAAGTTTGGGTCGAAAAACCCTAGCATATCGCCGTTATTTTGTCAAAAATCCCGTTGAAAATTAAACCAAAATGACGACAGCTGCAAATTGTCTTGGATTGTTCAAAAGCCTTTGAGGTTCTTTGTATGACTATATAGGTCCGACCGGCTCGGGTCGGCGGGGGAATTTGTAACTGTGACTGATCAGGAGCGAGGGACTTTGTTAATTTTGATATCTTGTGTATGACGCAAGTCACGCAAGCTGAAGATGATCACGTTCTCTACGCTTTCATGCCCTATGTAGCATGGCCTTCACTCACGATTCCATTGGTTTGTTAGGGTTTGGATATATATCTTTATATATGTATATGGTTCTTCACGATATCTGTTTAAAGATATCTCGATGTCTTCGATACATATGAACCCATCTTGACAAAGTCCATCGAAGTGGTATGCCCACCCAAATCGGCACGAAATGAATTTGACAGAGTGAGAATCCAATAAAGCATGCATGAAAACTTTGCGTAAAATACACTTGGCAAACAGCACACCTTTCCCACCATGAGAGTACATCTTTTTTCAAATCTTGTCCACCTCAGAGTTGTTCTCTCCTGACGCTTCCCACCTCAGCTTTCAACTTTTCTTGTTTCTGATCCAGTGATCATTTCATACCACAGCCAGCCCGGCTTTCAGTCATTCTACTTGAGTCACACAATCACCCTGCAATGTCTTCGACTCTCACTATGCTGAAGAAAATGACGGAAATCCTAAATTTCCCTCCCGGCATAAATCCATACCGATATGCGGCAAAACTCCTCGAGGTGAGTTAACTCCCTTATCAAGTCTCTCTTACAATGATCACTTCGAGTTTTGGCAAAGATAGAATAGGCTGATGCATTATATTCAGGAAAGAAGATTTCCCACAGTTCCCAGATCCACTTTCCAAATTCTCAAAGTTTTCGGTGTGACTCATATGTGTATCATATGCATATGTTGTGTGGTTATCGTGGTCCCAATCATGCTCAGCAAAGCGAAGCGGCTAAAATACTTGTGGACATTCAAAAAAGCATTCACTGGCAAAAGTAAATGCAATATCGACTTCTTGTGGATCTTCGTCAGAGTCTGGATTATGAATGTGAAGTGGCGTGATGAAGTAATTCGTAGCTAATCTTTCTTTTTAAATTCTCACAAAAACTCTTGGAGATGAAAAGTCATTCTACATTCCCAACAGCGTTCTTGCAGGTAAGGAATCATCAATTGTACTTTATCCTTGGATTGGTATCTAACTTCGATCATAACACGATGATCAATCAGTGGCGGTGACCCAGCTGGTCAGCAGCGTTCTTTGCCTGTTATACGCGTATCTGGATTACATCTCCTTCAAGTCGTCCACGATAGCTGGTCGTGTTTATCTCTACGCCTGGTTAGTCCGACCATCTCTTCTGATCGAATTGCTTTCGGAGAGCCAATCTCAAACGCACGGACACTTTCTAATCTTGCAGGGTACAGGTGATGTGGCTATTCGGCTTCTACGGTTATTGGATAACAGGTTCCTCATTTCTCACTGAATCTTGTGCTACATATCTCTGCGAACGGGGGCGGATCCACGTAGAAGATCAAATGTAATTTTGACATCCTGATTTTGATTTTTGACAGGATGGGCTGGACTTTGCACGATGTAATTCACCCTGCTTCAGTATCTTTTTGACCTGCGTTCAGAGTAATTTGATGGATGTAGACACTAATGTTCTGATTGAATATTGCCAAAATATTTTCAAAAAAAAACGCGTTTGACTTCTCGTGCTGCACTTCCGGTGGACCAGCCTCTGTTCGCCACTTGGTCAAATCCCTCGACCACTCAGACCGCTCGTCACTCGACCGCAAGTAGTCAACCTAATAGGCATACTATTTCCCGTGGCAGTTTCCGTTGGCACGATCGCTTGGGTTTTCTTCCTGATCTTTGCTTATCATCATGAGTCTCTAACCTTCACCCAGCTGAGTGCGTCGATTATGGTGGCGGGTGATGAATTTGAAGCAGGCAAGACTGTTGATTTGAAGGATCTTATCAAAGTGGGCTTGAAGTTCCACAACGTCAATAGCGAGCTGATGAGTAGAATTCGATGGAACTCGTTCTTCTGGGCAATCATCGGATTCATCACTCTCTTGGTGGGCCTCTTCACTTCAACAGCTCTGATACATCTTTGACACCAAAAGGTAGCCAACAGTCTTCTCAGGATCAACTGAGCCTTTGGCTCGTTTTCTTTACAAAATAGCTCTTTGTCCTCTCGGGCTGGTCCCTTATCGCGCTCCTCCGACATGGCGCGACAAAACTCGAAGCACTGAAGCCCAATAACGCACATCTCAAACTGAGCGATGTTACACAATTCCTTAGCTCACATCCAAAACAAATTGCTCGAGATCTCAAGCGTGGATATGGTCAATCTCTTCTTACCTTTAGTTATCTAGTCTCCTTTTAAGTTTGAGTTATTATGGAAAGAGTTCCGGAAGGCGCGACTTGATGAAACTGACCTGCTTCCCACCCTCGTAACCATTCACAGCATATGTTGTCTGTCATTTTGTGATTATGATGGCCTCGATGTCATATAAGATTGTGATCTGTGTGATTATCGGAGTTCATGCGGACTTGATGGTTATGGAGTAAGTCCAAAACTCATGACCTGTCTCAAATAAAGCTGAACATCCCTCTCCGATCGTTCAGCGCCAGATGGAGATCGTTGGGATCTTGGTTGTATCTGTTGTGTGGAGTCATAGTGGCACCTGCAATGCTCTTACAAACTGTATGTAGTCTTGACCCACCTTGACTTACAAAGGCGTGCGTATGGCAGGTTACTGACAATTAGGTGGACCTTGATCATCTACATATAGTGGCGAATCTTCACGGACCTAGATATCATCATTCCCGAGAGTCAAGTAGGAGAGACCCATCCAGCGGAAACAAATTGTGACACAAATATAGAAACAGATAACTACTCCTTAGAGGATTTTTCGCTTTGCGACGTCAAGGCAACTTGTGAGGTTCCCGAGGTCCAGATTGTTCAGGCTAGAGTCGCAACTCGCCCAGCAAGAGCACAGGTGATAGTCATTCGACGTGCATTTTGAGCAAAGGTTTTTGAAAGCTGCATTTCATTTCTTCTCTTCATTCTTTGCATGTATCTCCTCACCCCAATCACTTCTTACAACTCGTTCATTTGTACTAAAGTCATAAATCAATTACCATCACTTTGTGGTCACCCCACCAGTTTAAGTTGATCGAACATCCTAGTGCTGTCCCAACCGGTGCAACCTCTTTTGGCAAAACTCTACTATATAACCATTTTGAATGATCGCGTCTTGGTTCATGTGGAGCTGACTTCTTCAATTATGTGTTCTGGCCAAGTTCACATAACTATATAGCAACCCTCTTGTCAAACATCTGCTCAAACCCATCTTTTACAAAGCTTAATACAAGTAGCACAATTCTTTCCGGAACACTATCAAGACAGAGTCAGATAGATTTGAGGATACCGATTTATTATCTTTTCCTGTTGAAGTGTAAATGACATGAAGTCAAACATAGCATCCAGGGAGTGAGTGTCAAGGTGCGAATTTTTCCTCACTCCTCTCTAGGCTTACTCCTCTGTGACATATTCTCCTTGATTAAGATATGTAACTCCTTAAATAACAATCAATTGGTTCTAGTCTTGAGTCAATTAGTTTTTTTGTACAAGAGACATAGTCTTTGTGCAGATGTATGTAGCTGATAAAATCCATCACAGATAATCTTTCAACCAAAAAGTGATGAGCTATGTTCAACCTGATTCAAAATTAGGATATTCCTTTTCCATTCTACAAGCACAGATACAAATACAACTTACACAACACACAAACCCACACTGACACAAGTATAAAAGTACAAAAAACTCAAACAAATCCCAAAAATCCTCAATCAAGTACACATATAGAAATTCTCAGCCATCCAAGATTCCCTAAGCAGTTTGATTCCCATCATCTTCTTGATCAGAGTGTTTCTCATTTTCCTTTTCTGTTTCTTCTCCTTCATCTTCTGAATCATCTTCATCTGTACTACTTCCAATTAGTGAGCTGAGTTCTTCATTAATTGCTGCTACTTTTGGGTCTGCTCTACTGGCTCTTGGTCGTCTAGTAAGAGAGAGAGAGACCATCGAATGTCACATGTCATTAGTAAATGGTCACAATGAAGTACGACAACATATCACAGAGCCAATAACTTACACTGATCGCCGTGGTGCCGGGTCATCTTCGTCTTCATCGTCTGTAAGACTTTGTTTCCGCATCGCCAGCGATTTTGCACTCTTGGTTGATTTTTTGATACTGAAGTATGACATATAAGACAAGAACCCAACAAAGATAACAAATCAATATTCAGTTTTCGAAGTAAGATATCATGGGGCCAAAGATCTTTCATCTTGACGTTGAAAGTGAATATATACGCACGGTGTCTTAGACTTCCTTTTGGATGGAACCTTTGCTTGATAATCATCACTATCAGCACCTTGCTCCAAACCACTTTCTGGTTCATCATCACTACCTTCTTCTTTCAAATTATCAATAAACTCTTGTATATAGTTGAAGAATGTCTCAAGACCTGCGATTTCACGTAAAGCTTCTTCTTCCAATGGGTTCAATCGATCTGGAAACTTTTTCTGTAATCCAGTTTGAAATTTGGCAACAACGTTTTTAGAAACTGAATCGCTTAATGGTCGTCGCTGAATTGGGGATGAGATAGTCCATTTCAGAAATGATGTCTGAGTTTTATTGTCAAAGCAAATAATGAAATCTCTCTTCTTTGTAATAAGACGAACCTCTTTTAGTTCCTCTATCAGCAATATCAAGCCACGAAGTTTGGCCTCATTCTGAATCGTCTGAGGGATATTCAATTTGGGTAATATTTGACACAACATTTTTCTCTCGTCCTCTTCATGCAAGTCAAGTTTCACGTCAGCTAGGGTTTACAACGAGAATCAAGAGATTCGCAACTCACTTTGGGTGGAAGTGAAGAGAGTCTTGATAACTTCAATCGCTGCATCGAGATGAACCTCCCAGTCCACTTCACATCCCGGAAGAACACTGAGATGCAGATCAAACAACCGTCACCACTTTAGCTGTTTTGCACGGCTTTCGTCAATCATGAGTGATGGACTGGAGCACTGACACTACTTTCGATGGATCTGTCCAGTCTACCAACTGGACAGAGATCTGAGCAGGAGAGAGCATCTCACTCTTATCTTCTTGATCATCATAAACACCACCCAACACGTCTAGTGCCGGCAGCATCATCTGACCGAAGTAGAAGTGGAAAGCAATGTCCGGTTACGATGTCAGTTGGTTGTTCATTTCTTGCACATAGTGAAGGTGAGAGTCACTTACAGATTGCATCCGCCGTTGATTTGCCGAAGAACAGTAACAATACACTGGCAAGAAATAACTGAGACATTGTCTTAGTTTTTGATTGTCACACGTTTCTGGAGAAAAGTAGACCAAGACAAGCATTTGGAGTACCTATAAATCCAAATAGAGACAGGGATTAAGTCATCTGAATCAGCAAATAATTGTCCAAAAAAGTTCACTTACTTCAGAGTTTGTGATAATACCCGACAACATAAGCTTAGAAATTCCTACGACAGCGGTCGCCTGAACTTCTTTAGACTCTTGGTCCAATGAGTACAATAAGAATTCTACCACCCTATCCGGCTATGCATGGGTTCAGAGGTAAGAAGAATCGTCAGCTCGAGAGAACAGACCAAACCAGAAAATCAGACAATGGATCCTGCTTACCCCATGACCCTTTTCAGCCAGAAATCCAATACCATGTTGCAAGAGCAGATCAAAGACAATTTTCAACACTTTGGTCCTCAGTTCAACTTCTGCTGCTTGAACTTGATGAATAAAAACGCCAAATGAATCCAGGGCGATTTGCTACGAGGAAGAGCACGTAAGATATCAACGACTTCACAACCAGAGGATGATAGTCCAACCATTGACTTACTCGATCCAATAAGCTACATAGACCCAAGCAGACCAACCCCCCTTCACGAATTGGGCCTTCTTTACAACGAACAGCTGGAACGATTAACTCATGAACTATGCCAAACATACTGGTGTTATCTTTGATGGACTATAAAAAGGAGTTGTTTGACATTCAACATCTCTTTCAGAAGGGTTAGACCAATGCCAAAACCTACCCCCGAAACTCTCTCGAGCAAAGCTTTTACAATAGCCAGGGATCTCAAGTCGAGGCTTGCATTGACCGGATTGAGCGAGAAGGTTGCAACTCGTATTCCACCGTCTTTGCCTTTTCTAAAGCTGGCCTCTCCATGTCCTTCGTCATCATCTTCATCGTCGTCGTCGTCATCGCCATCACCTCCGCCGCTGGCCGCTGGTCGCCCATTCGCGTCACTCGCGCAGGCCGGGTCAGCTTCTAAATTTCCTCGTAACTCTTGAACCGACTCGACAATCACTCGCATGAAGTCTCGCTCGCCTGTTGATAGCTTAAGTAAGATCTCCAAGCAGCCGGCGATGAGAGGAAGAGGAAGGAGCTGATCCACAATTAGGTCACCTGTAGATCACGGAAGCTAGTGATGAGCAAAAGCAAACATGATCAGACGTAGAAATTGAAAGCTACACACGTAACAAGGAGAACATTTTTCTTCGACCAGTTTCGTCACCATAGTCCGCCAACATGGCTACAGAAAGGAGTTCTTTCAATACAAAGGTCTTTGCTTCACCCTTCCTGACTATTTCTTGAGTTTCCTCGTCGGCCATGTCTGTTGAGGAAGTCTTAGAGATGAGCTCTAGTGCTTCAGACAAAGCCGTGAAATTATGTTCAATTCGAAAAGCGAGAGCGGTGACCACTGGCATCACTTGATCCAATCTGGCTTCGTCCTGATAGTAATATCAAGAAAAGATATCATGGGAGTAAACGTCTGAATCTCGTTATGCCCTTGGCACAAGCAGTGCTCTATCAACTCACCTGAATAGACTTCAAGTGATTAGTCACAACGCGTAACAAAAAAGCCCTTTCTGGATTAATGTCAGCCCACCAGGATTCGGACCATAACTCAACAGGCGTAGCTTCCCCCGTCAAGTCTTCGACCTCAAGACTATCTTCCAGTCCACCAGCTGAGATCCAAGCTTTGACAGCTCTTTCGATGTTTTCTGTTTTCACCAATTCACCTTCACTTTCTTCTTCTTCTGAAATCAATCCTACAAGGTCCATCGTCTGAAGGAACTTTTCGATATTACCACCAAACCCTGATCGGATCCAACAATTGACTAAACTTGTGGCTTCCTTACGAACAGCCTCTTCACGATCCTTCAAACCTTTGAGAATTAAATGACGTTCGTCCAAAGTAAAACACTGAGAAGGGTCTGGTGAAAGGGTAGGTTCTGGTTTTGCATTGACGGCCAAAAACAGGTCTCTGTAGACCGTCCGTCGGATAAGAGTGTCAACATCTCGTAGTCTGGTCAGAACGGCGGGTAAGGTGATCGAGTTGGGTACTTCGCATAGTTTATGTAAAACTGTACGGCGAACCTCACTTGTTTTGCGGTAAAATCAGTCACATCCGCAACATCGGGTATCAAAGTGATCAAATTTGCTTACGAGGATGGATCACGGATCATTAGGTCAATTAGCGCGTCATTAACATTCACTTCGTCCTCATCTTCATCCTCCTCTTCGCCGACTGGTCTAAAGTTCATCAAAGCAATAGCGGCTTGTTGTCGCACATCTTTCTCTTTATCGTGACTTCGGACCAGTAGTTTGGACTTGAGTTCACTAAAAAGATCATTGCTGCGGATGGAGAGTGAAGGTTTTGAGTGAGCACGATCAAAAAATATGAGCGATATAAATTTCAGTTTATTGACGTACTCAATATCTTCGAGACTGTTCACCACATAAGCCAGCAACTGACAGCATCTGAATCTAACGATCTTGTTCTTTGCTTCAAACCCGCGGTTGAGATATTTGATTATGTGTAATAGCAGTCGATTGGTAGGAGTTTGATCTGACGAATCCTTGAGAGGGTCTGAGGAAAATGATAGTCACTCCTTTTTGCCAAAAAGCTAACCGACGGATAGAATATAGACGAAAAGACTGACCATGATCAGTAGCAAATGAACAAAACGCTCCAATAAACTTGATCACCCGATCCACCTCAACAATACCCTTTTTGGTTGAAACCAAGTTATCCAGTACAGTATAGATTGCTTCAGTGAAAGTCTTCTCGCCCGTAAGTTTGATAGTCTTTTCAGTATCTTTCATTTCATCGGCGTCAGTTTCTTCAAAGATTGCGCTAGCCGAAATAAAGATTCTGTGTAGATTGTTGACCAATTTTCGATGACCAGTTAATGAGTTTTGAGATTGATTAAAGATAGCAAGAATTGAATTTGAGATCGTGTTGAGTGTGTCATTCTTTTTGTTGGTGGTCTTAACTTCATCGACTGGAGCGTCTTCGGGAATTGAGGTAGCCGTGGCAGGCTTCTTTGACCTTGAGCTAGTTTTCTTCGTTGATGGTGCTCGAGCCATTTTGGTTGGGCAATTGGAAGACGATGAGATGGTATTACGTCGATTGAGGAAGTTGTAGTTTGTTTACTTCTCCTCTGGTAGACCTGGATTCATGCGCTGACCAGCATTTCACAATTTTTAGCGCGTCAAGATGTGTGAAGGTGAAGTCGTGTGTCAGTCGGGTATCTCGGCCATCACACATATAGTTCACGTATGTGTCAGCTTAAGGCCTGTACAACACAACCCACAAGTCGTCGTCAAAGCTTCGGGACTGCTGCGCATCGGGTATAAAAGGTGAGTTCACTTCAGACAGTTCAACACTCATCCAACCAACTTTTTGCACTTCCACCCTCCAACTCATCAAATCAATCACAATGGGTCAGGTTGATTGCCATCGCTCTGCTACGGTCTTGATCGGTTATTCAACTCTTCTTCATCCGATCTCACTTTGTAGGCTTTGACTTCGAAGGCGGTGACTACTCTCAACTCGAGCAACACTTAGTTGACAAGAGTTACATTGAAGGGTTAGTCTCAAAACAATGCTCTTCGTAGTCTATCTCTTTATTATCTCTATGATGATTTCTACCTTTGGTCCGTGTTTCTGATCACGCCCAACGAGGCCGGGCGGCTTAAGACCCCGTCCTTGTTCTTTGAGCACTTCGTCTGTGGCTATGCAGACATTTCATTTACCAAGATCTCTGATCCGATACCCATTCTAGTCCTCATTGACAATATCATGATTTTGAATCTGACGCTAATATCGTCCTTCGATTTGTAGCTATACTCCTTCGCAAGCCGATGTGGTTGTCTACTCGGCTGTTGCCAGCTCGCCAGACGTGAAGAAATATCCTCACTCTGCTCGTTGGTGGTCACACATCAAGAGCTGGGAGAATGAACACTCTTCACTCCCAGGAGAGAAGAAGGAACTTTCTACCTACGGTCCCGCCAAAGGATCCACTTCAGGCGAGTTTCAAAAAGAGCACCTGGATTTAACTCCTTCAGCTAACGAAGTTTATCATGATCTTTTGAAATCAGCTCCTGCTGCTCCTGCCGCTGATGACGACGACGAAATTGACCTCTTCGGATCTGACGATGAGGTCGACGAAGAAGCTGAGAAGCTCAAGGCTGAACGAGTGGCTGCCTACGCTGCTAAGAAGGCCAACAAGCCCAAGACTGTCGCCAAGGTGAGTCTCGTCATCTCACGTCTTAGCGGAGCGTCGTTGGAGGTTGCCAGTGGTTGATATCCTCTTTTCGTACAGTCCCTTGTCACTCTTGATGTCAAACCATGGGATGACGAAACCGACATGGAGGCCTTGGAGAAATCTGTTCGATCAATCGAACAAGATGGTCTCGTCTGGGGTCTTTCTAAACGTAAGCTCAATCGCCAATCTCTCTTTCCACGTCCCGATGTTGATCACCGATATGGACCCTGTTACAGTTGTCCCTGTCGGTTACGGTGTCCGCAAGATGCAAATCAGTTTGGTAATCGAAGACGAGAAGGTCTCTCTGGATGAACTCCAGGAGAAGATCGCCGAGTTTGAGGATTATATTCAATCTTCTGATGTCCAGGCTATGCAGAAATTGTAAATTGTACTATGTATCGGCAAGCGATCTTTTGCAGACAATATGATGTTATGCATGACCAGCTGTTGTAGAATCCCCTCACAAGCTGGGCCTTTGGCCCTTTATGAGATGACAAGGCAAAACTTCTTGAAGCACTTCCAGATCAACTCAACCAAGGCCCGCGCTGCTATCCCCTGGATGTTACAGTCTAACTTGACAAAGCCCCTCTTTAATAGAGCTCTATTGTGATTAAAAGCTCCTTGGTTGACTTGGGCCAGCTGTGCTGGACAAGTCACTCTGTCTAACAAGAACCTGGCAGGAAACAACCAGTACACCAAAATCAGCAGCTTTGGCTGTGCTGTGTAAATCCTTTCCAAGACTTGTGGTGGGTCTACTATGGTGCCTTGGTTTTACCTGTGGCAGAGGCCAACAACAATCTTGCACATGAAAAGGTGCACACATGTGCCAGAATGCAGGGTAGGGTGTGACAAACAAAAATGGCTGAATGTTTGTACTACACAAAGTTCTTCTGGAACTTTTCCACAAAGGTTCCAGAACACTTTTCCACAATTCTGGCTTTGTGGACTTGTGGAAAAAAACCTAATTCAAATGCCCTTTGCCCCTAGGATCCAAAAGACTCTGTGATACAACCCTCAAGGCCTCTTCATCTTTGCCCCTTGACCACCACTCGGTTTCTTCACCCCACATCCAGCTTACACCTCTGTCCTCATACACCACACTATGGCCCAAAAAGGACACCACAAACAACCAGAACACTACATACGTCTGTCAACTGATGAAATGAAACAAGCATCACATATTTGAGTAGCTACCGTAAGGGGTGTTTTTTTATCATTCCTTTCTCTTTAATAATTTATGTTCCTTGTTGACCAATATGTGTTTAGATCATTACTCTTTACATTTTGAAATGTATCAACTCACTGATTTGATCAGTTGATATGTTCAATTTATGAGTGTAGTTTGTTTTCAATGGGCTTTGATTCTATCATTGGTCTCAGTTCTTATAACTCTTGAATTTATCATTGTGATTATCTTAGAAGTTTATCTTATGTGATTATAATCAATTTGGAGAATCAATTGGAGAATCAATCATAATCAAACTTGAATCGAGTATATGATTAGCTTCTTATCACTCTCACTTATGGATCAGGACTTGTAAGTATGTCTTACTAATTGGCTGAAAGAATTGATTACTCATTGATTGGAAGAATCAATTAGAATTAAATCAAGTACAGTTGATTTCAGAAAGCTTGGAAACATTTGCCCACCAAATTTGAGCAAATTGGCGCGGAATTCTTTCCAAGCTTTGTGCAATTGACTGTATATCCACACATTTTTGATGAACCAAATCTCATTGGGATTTGGAAGAGCCTGATTGATTTTGAACAATATTGATTTTTAATCCTTTCACTGACATTGATTCAAATGAGATTGACAAGCTTAATAGGATGAAGTTTTATTTGATAATACATACTAGAAAAGATTGAAATAGACTGTTGGATCTTGAACAAGATCAATATTGGTCTGAATTGATTTCTGAGTCAAAAATTAGAACTTGAACAACATTGATAGTTGATATTTTAACTGACACCCTTTTGGATCAAGAGTTGGAAAGTAGGAGGGGTCAAGATTGGTGGTGTTATTTTGTGTGGAGTCATTTGTGGAGTTCTTGAAGAGGGGGTCTCATTGGTCATTTTGTGATGGTGGATGTGGGAATTAGATTGGGGATGTGGAATTTGATCAAAGTCCAGAAAGCCAGAACATATCCTGCCTTTCTGGCTTTGTGGAAAATCTGTTCTGGAACCTTTGTGGAAAAGTTCCAGAAGAACTTTGTGTGGTATAATTTCATTTGTTTCTGGTAGTGGATGGATTATGCAGAACCTATGAGTATTGAAACCAAGCCCTGTACTGCTACATAATTTTGGGAGAAGGCGTGTGAACCTCAATTTGGGTGACCACCCCCAAACCCCATTTTGTCTTGAAAGAACAATTAGTGATGAGCCTACCACAATTCCTTTGACTGCTCAATACTTTGTCTCATGTTTCTATCTACTTGAGAGGTGTCAAATCAGATCAATCTTCAAACTTTTCCTCATCTTTTCAATCCTGAATGGAATTCCGTCTTGAACCATGCAAGCACACCCCACATTTTTACTTTTAGAAACCTGATATCCTGGGTAGCAACTTTCAGGCTGACTCTTCACTTTAAAGGTTGTGTGTGCAGGTAGTGTGAGGGTGATAGTAATGGCTTCTTGGTACACCTAAGTAAAGACTTCAGTTATTTGACCTCTAATGAGTGGATTTAGTGCCAGAGGGATGGCTGGGTGCTCCTTCAAAGAAGCTTACTCAAAGCTTTGATAATCACAGGGGCAAAATTAGATGCTCACATAGGATTGAGTGTGGAAATTTGGTGTTTTTTCCAACATGTGTTCAATTTTGCATTTGAATTTTTCCCCTTTTCTTTCCTATTTCTTCCTGCTTGTCAGCTGATTAAATAATCAACAGGAACTGAGCAGATGAACTAGGCCTTCTTCATGCCTTAGCAAAGAAGGCTGAGGGATGGCTGTCCCATCTGCTCACCTTATCTCAGCCCATCAGCTAATCCTCAGTGGTATCCTCTGGAGCATGTATTTTCATATTTTCTCATCTTTCATTCTCAATTCCCATCTTTATTCCCTTGAAAGCTTGAAGTGGATGATCTTACCATGGATAATGCTGTCTTCTGTTCATTTGACAATTATCAAGGCTCAGCTCATTTCCATTTGGCATTGAGTCAGTCCTCAAAGTCAGGACTTATCTGGGTGATACATATAACAGATTCTTGGGAGAATTGTGACCCCAGTAGATAGCAATGTATGAGCCTGATGTGGATTCTGTGACAAGATTGGAGGTGAGCCTATTGTCATATGAGGAAACAAATTCTAACAGTTCTTTTGTTTTTCTTCCTTTGCACTTGTGGTGTTATCAACCTTCAAACCCTGGAATGAATGTGAAAAGTTACATTATGATGTACAGTGATTTGGTAGAAGATCAAAGATATTTATAAATGTGAGAAGAGAGAGATGAATCAAATGATTGATCACTATTGATACCAAACAAACGGAGTCCATCTAGTCTTACCTATTCAGCTAGATTCAGACCAGATAGCTGTTGGGTTCAGTCCAATGGTTATGCTGAATTGAGATCAATTAAGTGATTTACTTCTTCAACTCATTCTTTCCCAATTGAAACAAAAGAAGATCAAAAGGATTTACAGAAATATCAAGAATTATAACAAGAAATCCAATCAGTCCATTTTCAAGTTCATTCAAATCCAATCAAAATCAAATGTTACCCTTCCTCAGAAAATCTTACAAAACAAGATCAAGAATCATTAAATCATAAGCAAAATGTGTATCAGAATTTGACTTGATCCACTTCTTTCGCCCCACATGTTTGTACAATCTCATCATCTCCAAACAAACTCAAAGATAGACTTCCACCTATAGTTCTCAACACCAAGACTGCCATTGCACTGGATCAGTTTTTTTTTGTTTTTGAGTGGGGTTGGGTCAGATTTGAAATTTCAAGAATTCATAATTTTTGCTGTGATATGGCTTGATTGATTGTATAAACCTACACAACATTGATCAACTCCTATCAATCATTGACTACACAACTCAAGAGGCCTTGGAGGTCACAGAGGCAGTGCACATTGTGGAGTTTCTAAGTGGCCAAAAGCCATTTGTAAGTCCTCACTCTCCAATCCCAGCAGTTCGGAATCATCACTGACCTCAGACTCTGACAGCAATAGTGAAGAAAGATGCTTTCCTGATTCCACATTCCGCTCAGAATCACTGTCAACACCTATGAATCTTATTCTAGTACACTCTCAATCCCCTGAAATTGAACCTGAAAAGGTTATCAAGATCCCATCTAAAATTGACAGCATTAATCAATCCTGAACTAAACTTGGCAAGGCTATTGAAGAAGCTGCCATCTATTACAACTCACACAAACCACAAGTTCACTAACCAACATACTTTGACCTCCTGATGAACTGTGAGACTTCAACTAATGTACCCAACAGCTGAACCTCTCTAACCCTCAATCATATTGCAGCAAAAAGTCTGCAGTTCCTTTACATGAGCTCAGGATCCAAATCTGGAATTCACAAGTGGCACTTCTCACAACACCACCACTGCTCCGCTAAAATTCCAAATTTCACAAGCGTAGCAATTTGGTGCTATGATAAAATGCCAATTGCAATGCTATATGTTTGGACACACTATGACTTCTGAGAGCAGTGCAGCTTTTTGAACCACTCTGCTCCACTATGATAAAATCTCACATTGGGCAGTGCCTAAAAGCATGGCGCAGTAGGGATATCTTTGTTTTCTGCATTGTTGATTGATATTCAAAGACAGAGTAGCAATTGGACAGTTTGACCAAGGAAACAAGAAGCAAAATCTCTCTACATTATATTCAACACACACATTAAGATCCCAGATCCATGTTGAACAGTCTAATAGTAAGCACTTGAAGAAACTAACCTAAAAATGAAGACATGTTTTGCAATTTATCTATATTCCCCTGTGTTCCTCCCACAGGAAACAAGAGATGATATTCCCATGGGAAGACTGATTATGGTTAACACAGTTTCTGAGCCAAAACACAGAAATAATGCAGAAATAATGCCAAAATAATATATTTTGGCTCATAAACTGTGTTACAGTCAACTCTCCATAAAGGCATACCTTTTATGGGCATAATCCCTCTAAATGCATAGGTTTTTACAGGGGTTTTCCCCGCCAAAATGGGATTTGCCAGCCAAAACAAGATTTGTAAAGGCATATTCCTCTAAATGCATAAGAAAACTGCCCGCCAAACTGTATGCCATTAGAGAGAGTTGACTGTAAATACAATGGGTTTTCCCACAGGAAAATCATCATTTCTTGTGTCCTTCACACCAATACAAAAAACCCTCATCACACCTCATTAATGTCTTCATGCTCATTTTCCTA